AACTTTAGAATATAATTTTATCTGATGAAGGTAAGCAACCCTAAGGTTTCATTTTCCTTTTTAACTTACTCATTTTTATCATAGAATATTTCTTACAGATGACAAAATTAAAATAAAAGTATTTGTTTTTAACTAAAAATTTGTTCTAGGAAGATTGTGATTGTTCAGTTGAGTACTAAGGTACCAATGTACAGTATTTGTTTAATTAATGCAATTTTGATATATGTGGTAGCATCAAGGGATTAATTAATTGTGCTAATCAAGGGTACCTGTATTAGGTTCTTTTGAAACCTACTTTTTTACTAGATTGTATAACTTTTGAGTTAAGCTTTTTTGTCCCTAATAGATATTTTATAAACTCCAGGGGCTCATTGGTAGTCAACAGGGTCTTTTCCATTACAGAGAAGATAAAAAATGTGAGGGTTCCTTTTGTGCATTATTTTAGTTCTTGAATAAAATCCAACTTCATCGTATATATTTTATATGCACCATTACATACCAGTGGATTCTAATGACTATTTGGATATAAAAATTGTTGCCTTTAAAACCATCAAAAGAAGGGCTTACACCCATTGTAATAAAATAGAAGATACAAAGGCAGAACTAGAACACATAGCAGACATAGTTACAACATAGGAGCTTAATTTACATATTAGCCCACATGCACAAGACAAAAAACAATGGAACCAGAAGCACATAGCACTATTCACATGTACAATACATCAAATGGAGATTCTCATTAATATACCATAAAATCTGTCATTTATTCATAAATGATAATTTTATGTTGATTAAATTACCGTGTTTCCCCGAAAATAAGACCTAGCATAGGTTTTGCTGAATTGCGAAATATAAGACCCCCCCGAAAGTAAGACCTAGCAAAGTTTTTTTTTCTAGTCGTAACGGTCATCGACAGATGGTTGAAAGTGGCTGTTGGCTTTTTGAAAGTACAGCCACTGATTGGTCAGCAGACAATCACACCACACGGCATGATTTGCAAGACTATGGCTTGGGAATCACAGATTTGCATAACGTTACGGCTGGTGATGGCTAATTGGTCGGCCGGGAATCACGCCCCATGACATTTGCATAGTGCTACGGTTCAGTAAGCACTAATTGGCCATCGAGCCCGATGTCCACGTTATGAAAAGGTTAAGTTGAAGCGAGAGTGGGAAGTCCACTCCAGCATGGGAACTTCGTAAGTTCAGTTCGACACGACCGGATATACGTCACTCTCGTTTAAGTTAGACTTGGGAATTTTTTTGTTCAACAATAAATGTGAATTCTTCTTCATGGAAAAATAAGACATCCCCTGAAAATAAGACCTAGTGCATCTTTGAGAACAAAAATTAATATAAGACACTGTCTTATTTTCGGGGAAACACGGTATCATAAAGGTAAATGCAAAATATATTCAAGGAAGTTGGATCTTATACAAGAGCTAAAATAACATACAAAAGAAACCAGCACATTTTTAAGCTTCTCTGCAACAGAAAAGACATCTATTGATGACCAAAGAGACCCTAGGATTTATAAAATATCTATTAAAGATGAAAGGTTCCAAAAGGACATAATATACATAAGTTCAACCAAGAAGTCACTTGAAAAAGATGCTTAACAGAACATGAATCAGATAGAGAAAATCAAACATAATCCACCACTCTTTTGATATATGCTAGTGAAAATGATATTCAAGCTGACTTAAAACAAGCAAGATTAATTAAAAAAAAAAAAAAATGGACTGAACAAAACATCTCAGGATATTGGAGGTGCTAAAAATCTTTAAAGCAAAAAAGCAAGAAACCCATATCAACTTTAAAGAAGAAAAACAAATTTCCCACGCATGGCAGGCCATATATGACGTCATTATAAAAGTTTTTTTTATATCAACTATCAACTACAAGTGGAGACACCCCATTGGTTAAACTTTGAATTTAAATTTATACACATTTTCTTCCGTGCATTCCATTATTGAATATCGAAGCAATTTCATCAACCTCAAGCAGGTCTTATAAGTAGACTGAAAGCATTTGTTTATGTTAATTTTTTCACCATTCTGCTGAGTGAAATGTAAGATTAGTGTGTTTATTTTATCTACTTGCCCGGTTTGTAAGTAAAAAGTTTCAGTGTAGAACTTCTTGCTTACAAAAATATACTATCAATTCTATCGCTACCAATTATATTATTTTCTTTTATAGTATATCTGAAATAAGAAATTAAATATACATTAATTTTTCATCTTATAAAATATGTATAAGTATCTTCAAGTACAATAGAAAATATTGTTCTCAAGATCAAGAATAAAGATTTTCTTAATAATCATTCAACAATACTAGTTTAAATATGAATTATTTTTTAAAATCTAATTTTAGGAGGATTGTTGGAGTAACTTTTTATTAGGTTAGGCTGTTGGTCTGAGAGACCATAATTTACAACAGTGATTATTTGATTATTCTTTTATAATTTTGTGTTGCATATTCTTACAATTTCTATGTGATTTACGCACCTAAAGTACAAAATACTGTTACAAAATAACTGCAAAGCATTATAAGGTTAGTGTGATATATACACCTAAAGTATTTTGTGCAAATATTCTTAGCTGATTATATAGGTTATGATATGGTATTTCCAATAAAAATTCCAAGATTTTGTCATCAAAATTTAAATGCTGTTCCTAAAATATTATTCATATATTGATAATTGTCAAAAATAAGTAATGATCAAATGAATCTATTTTTGCAACTATTTTTAAGTGCATAATTACAATATAAATTTAAAAGAAAAGAATTATATAAACAGATAACATACATAATATGAAACTGTGATTATCGTTTGTTTTTTACTTTTCAATTTTCAAAAGTTTATTTTGATATTTTAACAAATACAAATTCATTCACTTGTGCAAATTTATTTTTAAAATCTGAATAAAATTTAATAAGTTTAAAAACTATATCATCATCAATACATAGATGAGATAATTGATAGATTCAGCATAATTGTTTATTCTAAACATTAATCATGAGTTAAGTTTCTTCTGCCACCTTGAAATGATGAATATGAAAACCTTTGCTTTTTTTTGTAAAATAGCAATGCAGATTAACGTCATATTTCATGAACACATTCAAATGTTGTTATCAGTGCCAGATTAAGTCTATAGCAAACACTAGACAAAATTTAAATTGGGGACCCTATTTAAATAAGGTCCCCAATTTATAAGTTGCTTCTAAAGAAATCTTAAATAATGTCACTTAAAATTTTTAATAATATAGAGAATACAAATACTAATACAATAATAATTGTATAATAAAAGAGTTTCTGGTATAATGAAAAATATATAAAGTTTAAACTTATTCTTTTATTTCCCAAAAAAAGTTAAATACAACTGGGACCCTCTCCAAAATGCCCTCTTCCCTAATTAATTCACTATAATTATTATAAATATCACAAAGACATGTTCACCTTTTCACTCATAGAATACTACTGTAACATAACTGTTTGTGTTTATACTCGTTAAGTCCTAATTCATAGAATAAATGAAAAAATTTTTACATTTCTTGTTACAATAGCAACAAGAAATGTTGCATACAAATAAACAGTGAACATATGGGTACAGTATGCATATTTGGAGTTATGGTGTATAAAAAACTCACATACACTATACACTGGTATAGTATGTACACCAAATCCAATTTTATTACTTCATGAATTATTATGATGACATTTATTTTTATTATTTAAAACTAACAACATAAATATTCTATATTATTTTTTATTTAAAAAGTATTTACAGTATGACCCTGTTTAACACTGCCTTGATTAAAGCCAATTCAATATAACACGGTCTGCTCGAAGCATAAAAAAATAGCTCAAAATTTACGCTGATTTAAATTATCATGGCATTTCATTGATTTGTATATAATATGATTATTTACAAACACAAATCAATCAGCAAAAGGTGGCAATTCATCGTAGTGCTGTAATTTCCTCAAATCTATGTTTGTTTTGTGCAATTTTGGAAAAAAATATAACATCATGGATGCCATAAGCAATATCGATTTTGCTTGGAAAGAATTAACTGATAAATGCATGAATGGAGTTGGAAGAAGTTATGGCTGAAGGTATCTAAGAATTCTCAATTAGAAGAGCCTATCGCTATATTGTTAGGTTGACCAAATTGTCAATTTAATTGATACAGCAGGACTAGGAGATGTAGATGAGCAGGATATTAAGGAGTTACATTTCTAGTGAGAGCCTTACCAATGACGACCTTCAAGAACTGGCAGAACATGGAATTCATGTGGAACTGGAAAATAGAGTTCCTTAAAATGAAGAGCCCAAAGAACTTGCTACAGATTTCCTTAGTAAAAGTTTAGTAACAATAACAGAAATCATTGCTCAAACTAGCAAATGATCCAGATTTTGAAAGGAGTGCAAAAGCAAAACAAGGCATTTTGGATGTGATCTACTACCAAAATTTGCTTAATGAAAGAAAAAAAAGTGACAAATGAAACTACATGACTTTATCACAAAAAACAAGAATTTGAGAAAAGCCAGGACTTTCATCACAAAAAATACATTTCTGTGTGCATATGTTTATGTGTTATTTAACATATATTATGCAAATTAATATAAAAAAATAATTTAAAATTAAAGTAAAATCTGTTTATTTTTGGTCGCGTGTTCCCCTTTCCATATTTACTCTATGTTAAAATGACCTCGTTTAATGTTGTTTTGTTTAGCGCTTTGTCATCTAGGAATGCATCCCCCTGTGTTAAGTGGGTTCTTACTGTATTTATTTTTTTATATTTTTTTCTGTACTGAAGCTGGGCCCTCCAAATTATTGACCCTAGACATTTGTCTTATTTGTCTATTGGTTAATCTGGCACTGGTTGTTATATCTGACAACATATCGTTATTTCAGTAATATGTTTATGAATTCAATCCTAACTACATAATTTTTAACAAGCACAGTAATTTATTTTTAAATAAAAAATAAATACCTGTCATGTTCTTTTTCTACCAGATGATATCGTGCTCTAAATGCTACCAAATGCGCATAATATGCCGGTGCTGGAATAGATACACTTCGCGTACAGCGTACATATGTATGACAAAGTTGGTATGTTAAACATTGAAGTTCATCAGATGAAAACTGGTTATCATCCCATAATACATGATAATGTGATGGTCTACTTGTTCCCTAAGAAAATTATTTTTCCGTGCATTCCATTATTGAATATCGAAGCAATTTCATCAACCTCAAGCAGGTCTTATAAGTAGACTGAAAGCATTTGTTTATGTTAATTTTTTCACCATTCTGCTGAGTGAAATGTAAGATTAGTGTGTTTATTTTATCTACTTGCCCGGTTTGTAAGTAAAAAGTTTCAGTGTAGAACTTCTTGCTTACAAAAATATACTATCAATTCTATCGCTACCAATTATATTATTTTCTTTTATAGTATATCTGAAATAAGAAATTAAATATACATTAATTTTTCATCTTATAAAATATGTATAAGTATCTTCAAGTACAATAGAAAATATTGTTCTCAAGATCAAGAATAAAGATTTTCTTAATAATCATTCAACAATACTAGTTTAAATATGAATTATTTTTTAAAATCTAATTTTAGGAGGATTGTTGGAGTAACTTTTTATTAGGTTAGGCTGTTGGTCTGAGAGACCATAATTTACAACAGTGATTATTTGATTATTCTTTTATAATTTTGTGTTGCATATTCTTACAATTTCTATGTGATTTACGCACCTAAAGTACAAAATACTGTTACAAAATAACTGCAAAGCATTATAAGGTTAGTGTGATATATACACCTAAAGTATTTTGTGCAAATATTCTTAGCTGATTATATAGGTTATGATATGGTATTTCCAATAAAAATTCCAAGATTTTGTCATCAAAATTTAAATGCTGTTCCTAAAATATTATTCATATATTGATAATTGTCAAAAATAAGTAATGATCAAATGAATCTATTTTTGCAACTATTTTTAAGTGCATAATTACAATATAAATTTAAAAGAAAAGAATTATATAAACAGATAACATACATAATATGAAACTGTGATTATCGTTTGTTTTTTACTTTTCAATTTTCAAAAGTTTATTTTGATATTTTAACAAATACAAATTCATTCACTTGTGCAAATTTATTTTTAAANAAAAAAGAAAAAAAGTATAAACTTAATGCTTATTTCCTATGTTTCATGCTAGCACACTTTTCCTATAGACATTTATAGGAAAAGTGGGCTAGCATGAAACAGTTAATAAGTCAACAGATAAAAAGCAATCTTGATGTTTATTCTTGTCTTTTGTTGCAATTTTCTTTTAATCACAATTCCTTCTTTTTGAAGAATCAGTTTTCTTGAGAACTTTGCACTGACAGTTGATGCCAGAGTCGACTTTTCCTGCAATTTTGCATTATGAATGTCCACCACTGGGAAGAGAAATTGCAAGGTTATTGGCATCATTTGAGAGATCACATCAAAATAGGTGGGTAAAAGGATATGATTTCCTAGCAAATTTTAGCAACCCCACATTTATAAAGCTGTTTAAATACCTTGTAATAGCAATGGTACATTTACAACTGAAGTAGCTTCCATTTGTCAAGATGTTAATTTGCATTATTCCATTATTTTGATGCAGCTGACAAACTATTCCAATTTTTTGCCTACTTATTAAACAGCAATGAAGACAAAAAAATTTGAATGCATTTTATATGCATGAAATAATTCATGGTTAAAGAATAATTACAATTACATCCCTGCAGGCCTTAAAGCACTTATGACATAAAAATAAATAAGAAAAGAAAGTCCAAATTTTAAAAAAAAAGCAGTACTGTTAAAAATATTGTGGGAGACTCATTATTACAAAACTAATGAAAACATACACCAAAAATGTGCATGTACACGTTCATGTCATCACATTTCATGCTTTACAATATTTAATTCAGTTTGGATATAAAACCAAAATGTTGACTCAAGATGCATGCATTTTAAAGGAAGACATTCTAATAAGTTGTGTGTTACCTTTCCTTTATTACTGTAACCATTTTACATGTTTCAGATTAAAACAAATATGTGATTAGTTGGAAAATTGCTGAAATTGACATATCTTGATTAGATTTTCAATCCTAAGTCACTTTTTTTGGTTTCTTACTGAGGAAATTTGTTATTAAATATGATTTTCTTTTGTTTAACTTTTCTTGAAGTTCAAGAAAACAAGAGAAGTAGAGGAACCTCTACTTCTCTTGTTTTCTCTTCTTCAGTTTGATCAAACTTTTTTCACACATACCCTGAGCAAGATGGATTTCTACAACATTGTTTTCTTTAACTGTCTTTTGTAATTGATTACTGGCTTCTTGAAACATTTTAGCCTTTGTTTTTTTCTTTGAATCTCTTCTTCCTTCTTTTTCTGTTTCAACTCAGCTTCAAATGTATCAATTTTCTTTCTTTTCTTCTTCTTTACTTTCTTTGTTCTTGTTCTTTAAATTGACTGTGCTTCTCCAAAAAGGCTTTTTAACTAGCATGTGCATTGTAGACTAAGTCAAGTAATTTTTTGTAATTGGCATCAAAAAGGCATTATTGCTGTAAATACAAAGCCCATCTTTTACTATCAACAATGAATTCATCATTCATTCTGATATTGCTGCTCTGTCTTCTGTCAGAACCCATCTAGAAATGGAGAAACCTCTTTCAATTTTGATTATGTTAGACACAGTTGGGTATTTTGGTATCCCAGCAAGTTTTTGCAACCCAAAAAAAATGTTTTCAGTAATGGTCAATTCTATTAGTTTCCTTCTAATCAGCTGATTCAGGCTCTAACTGAACTAGCTTCCATTTGTCAAGCACTTTATTGGGACATCAAATGGTAAGCATTTTGCAACCCTGGTTATGTCTGTACAACATTTCTCTGTAAAATTCCTTCATATGGTTGCAAACACCTTAATGATCTTAGGATCATTGTGCTCACTGGAGAGTTTTCAAAAGATACTTACATGCATACAAGTAGTGTTTTTGAATCTGGTTTCTGAAATGTAGAGAATATTTTTCTTGCAAGAAACTCTTCCTTCTCTTCTTTCAAATTTGAGCTGCAGTTATTTCTTTCAATGATAGAAGATTCTTTGAGCAGAGTTTTTTCATCTGACAGTTTTACTCTCCACTATTCATGCATTCAGTAATTAAAACTTGACCCAACAAAGAGTGCACCAAATTAAACAATCCACTATAAAGTTTACGTATTGAGGGATTCCAACCCTGAAACCAGCTAGTAAATTTTGTGAACAGTTTAACACTAGATATTCTCAATAGAGTTCAGTTTTGATGGTAGAATATTTCAAAGATTTTGAAATTATCTTGTATGAAATACTATTCATTAAGTTGGACTTCTTTTCAAGAATTAAAAAAAAGTCCAACTTAATAATGAAACTTGGTTACTCTATTGATTGGTGTACATTGCATACTTTGCAGATAATTGACATAATTATAGTAATTTAAAATGGTAGTATTCATTTTGTAGATATACCATCATTACTTGTTTATTTCTGAAACTGACACTAAATAGAGTATGGTGCTAAACCAAAGTATTTTGAATAAAAAAAAAAATATGCTAATGAAGTCTGCACACAAGTTTGAGTTTGACAGTTTGAAAATATGATTAGGTGATAATGTCCTCTGCAATATTAAATTACAAATTTAGTAATTTACAGATACTGAAGAGCCCTCTACTTAATATTTATGAAAAAGATCCATTTCAGAAGTTTTTGATGGCACTTTGCCAAAGTATCACTATCTAGGAGGATGCTACATCAAGGTTTGACTGTATTCTAGTTTATATTCTATTTCACTACTAATTAATGCTGTAGAAGTTTACCTAGGTAGTCCCAAAGGTAGTCCCTTTTTTTTTTTTTTAAGTTTATAATTCATATTTTGTCATTTATTGTTGTAATGGTGGAGCTCGGAAAACATCAACAATTTTTTTGGCAAAGTGTGCTTCAAGGGATTTTATAATATCAGAATATTTGGAATTTAATTGTGACAAGAGAAATACATCAGTTGGTATGTTTGCCATAAAATTTGGAATGCAACTTGCAGATATAGTTTTTTTCAAATGTGATGGTCACTGTAAATTAAATTATTGAAAGGATCACGATTCTGTTTCTTTTGGATGTCACAAGTGCAAGATGAACAGTTCGTCATTTGAAGTAATTTTTAAAAGTAAATTTGGGAAAATTTCTTGGGGAACTACTTTTTTGTTTATTTGGCATCTAATTTGCATAGAATGCATGTTGAGCATCTCCTGTTTGGCTGTGGACATAGTTGAATGCTGTTCAATGGGCAAATTTCACACGACACATTATAATTGTTTCATCATCTAATTTTACTGGAATGAAAATTGGATGGACCTGGAAAGGACCTAGAAACAATCTTGTCGAAATTGACAAGATTGTTTTGAGCAAAATGAAAAAACTAGGAGAAAGGTTCAACCTGTTTGTTTAGCATATGAGTAAGTGTTAGTTCAGGAGCGAGATGTGTTTTAATTTGGAAAGAGCCAGATATTGTACCTTCAGTCCTGAAAGTAAGTGCCAAATAAATCTGAAAATCATAAGAGGAAGGATATAGGCATGTGTGTTAAGAATGTGAAAAAAGTTTCTACAATGGAAAAGGACAAAGTTACGAAAGAATCATCCAAACCATGTTTTTTACTGAATAAAATCAGAGAAAAAGAATTAGAAATATGTCAATGGTGAATGAAAGATTATTTCTTTAAATGTCGGTGTAGTAAATAGCTGCGCCGTCGTCATCTTGTTTGTGAACATTGCATCCACAAACAAGATAGTGACTGGAAGTGCCACCATTGGGACTAATTAGATAAACTTCCACCATTAATGCTGACATTTTAGTTACAAAACCATTAAATCTATTTATCTATATGTATAAAAATTTTATTTTAATTTATATAAAAAGAAACAAATACATACTTTATTTTGAAAATGGCATTATTAAACAATAGATAAGCAAATTAAGTTTTATTATATTTTAATATATTATTGAGGAAATAAGAAATGTTTCAATCTTGCATTTTACAGAAAACATTACAATTAAGAACATATCCTTTCTAAGTTCACCCACCCTGTCTGATGTTAGAAAACCAACAAAGAGCATACTTACTCAAAAACCAATATTGATTTTATGATCTTGATTTCATAGTAATTTGAAAACAGTTTGAAATTAATTATAAAAATATTTGAAAAATTAATTAGAAAATCTAAAATTTTATGGAAGATACCTGTATTCCAGCATGACTACAAAGATAAAAATCAAATTCTGTTGGATGTGTTATCCCAACATCTACTGTTGTTCCTGCTGGTATATTACCACTTTTTCCAATTTGTTCTTTTTTATCAGCACAAAATAACCTTGTATGATGACGTTTTTGTACAACTATAAAAGTTATTCCTGGTTTGTAATCACCTTCTAGTTTCATGCATGCTTCTCTGACAGCCAAAAGTTCATGTGATAAAACCTATTATAAAAAATTTTACGTTTAAAAAATATTAAGGTTTTACTACACACAAATAAATAAAAACAAGCACACACAATAGTTTCAAAAAGTTCTTAAATGGATAACATGTTTATAATGGTAGAAAAACTATATTTGTTATAAAATTACTTATTAATACAAAGACATCTTATTCCTCTGCAATCTTTTTATTTTTATATGCAAACATTTTCAGACATGTTAAATGCTCATCTTAAGACAAAAAGTGGTTATTGAATATTGCTGATCAAATTTTCATAAATAGAACACATTCCATATGTTTAGATCCGTTTACAAATATAAAAATTCTAAACTAAATATTTTAAACCTTTGCCAATGATATTTAATTTTTTTAAAAAATATAAAAACACTGCAAATATCTTTGCATTCTTTCTGTCATTTACACCAGTTGCAAGAACATAGCCTCAAAGGAAAGGACATGTCCATATATAAGAATTCTGTTTTGGACTGTCACTGGTGTAAGTGACGAAAAGAAAGTAAAGATATTCATTCGCAATGTTTTTCTATTTAAAAAAAAAAAAATGAACATTCTAAATTTATTAAGTAAAATCTTTTCTAGTATTTAAAAAAATGGCCATTGCACAGGATGTTACATTAGAACATACAGGATTTCTCATTTGAATTTAAATAAACCTCAAGACATTCCACAACTTAATAAAGATGAATAAATTTCCTAAAGAAAGGAAATTTATTCATCTAGGAAGAAAAACCAGAATAGAAAATCAATGAATATCTTTATATACTTAAGATATTTATATAACTAAGAAAAAGCAACACCATTAACTCAAAACATCATTGTATTCCCATTTAGTGCATGTTGGGTCACTTAAAATATGTTTTCATTTATTTGTTATTAAAGTGAAAGCATTGAAATAAAACATACTTAAGCATTAAGCAATTGAACTATAAATAATTTTTTGATTCTTAACTAATCTGAATTAATCACAATATCAAAATTGAAAACATTTATTAGTTTCTGTGCATGACTGATTCAAAGACGTAATACTCACAAAAATTTAAAGTTTTCCCCAAGAAACATGCTAAACAAAGGGGGTTGATTTTCCAAGCATGTGCCAAAAGTGAAAGGAAGTCATTGTACAACTTTTAATTTTAGTTTTGGACCTCATTGGACAATCCACTTTTTGTTCAAGAGGGAGACACAGTTATACTATGGTGATAGTGCATTGTAGCAGTGCAGTAGCAATAGCAAAAAAAAACAATTGAAATTAAATGTTGTCACAGGAAACAGATCATGTCAGCATGAAGAAATTCACCTTAAATCAAGATGATCTGTGAGACTCTGCAATTCTGGATTCCAACTGAGAGCTGAGCTGACAAAATTTGGAGCTGTAGCTCAACTGAGCTCATTTGATAGAACTGTATGTTGCCATAAGGACATTTCAACATTTAAAACCAATTTTTAGCAGAAAATAATTTGTCGAACACATTACAATAAAGCAGTGTTCCGCAACCAGTGTGCTGTCACATGGTGAAAGGTGTGATGTGAACTTTTACACATTCTGATAATTTCAAGTTTTATTTATATATTTTTATCACGGTTGTTGTGTTTCTTAAGCTTGTATTTTATTCTCTACTGCAGCACTGATGAAATAAGTTACATGATTGTTTATTCTTTATTACAAGCCTCACACTTTATGTATTCTAAGAAATTATAGGTAAAGTAAATTTGCTCCAGGTGTTGATGTCTTTTAATAACAATAATTAATTACAAATGCTTTATTGTAATAAGAAAAGTCTTGTTACAGGGGGTTGGCTTTAGAGAATTACAAGAATACAATAATACTCATTTAAACATGTTTTAAATATCCTATTACATAAAACTCAATAAACATAACATACCAATCATTCATTCTACACTATCATATTTCAAAATCTTTAAAATATGAACAAAAAAGTTATGAATATTATACATCTTACACAACAGAATTATTTCTAGATTGGTTCTGAAATTTTCTTATTAATTTAAATCATAAGTTTCTATTAATTTAATTTACATTGCACTTCAACAGACTTTGTATACTCAGTGAAAAAATTAACAAATATTTTATAAAAATGGTTGTAGAGATCAAGATGAACTTGCCTATCTGCTGGCAGAAGAAGATTAATAAATTTAGTGGTAATTATATCCATTCCAGGAGCTGTATTCATATTAAATTTACGAATTGATAAATCCAATTCTTCAGAAGACTTAATATCATTGATATCAATAGTCAATTATCTGATACTTCAGTATAACACAATCAATATGATACGAAACTTTCAATCCAAAGTACGAACTAACAGGAATTTGGTCTAATAAATCACAATTTAACACCTGAATTTCCAAACATAAATCCACTAAAAATATTGAACGTATAAACAGATCGATAGTAGAGCTTCCCGAAGTAAATGCTTAAATAAATTCAGAAGGATAGACCTTTTCAATTCTGCCATTAAAAATATATAGTTGAGCTTGAGTCGTTAATTTTAGAAAGTTATAACCCATTTTATTCTGTTTAACATCTTTGGATTTACGAATGTTTTAAATTATAACGTTCAATCCTTTATATAGCAAAACCATGGACTGTGCAATACGAGCATTTAAATCTCCAGTCATAATATCAAAAAGAATAGAATTTCTCAAAAATTTCGTATATACAAAATACTTCTTGCTATTGTTCAGGAAGTACATATACCTAAATTTTAACCAAAATTTTATCTATCAGGTTATTTATCTCTAATTTATTAATCAATAAATAAACAATGATGTAATTATTTCTTTTTTGGGAATATATAATTTCTCCCATTTTTTCAAAATGGGAGACTTTTTAATTGTACGCAATATTGAGTAAACTTTCATTATTATTATATGCAGCAGGCAAGAAACTTAAAATTTGAGACTCCACAAAGCATGAGTCTCTGATAGGAGTATTTAAATTAATATTATGTCATTGCGGAGTATTTTCAGAAGTAGTAAACGGAGTAAAAGAATCCAAGTATACCAGCTCCTTCAACACATAGCTATACGTCAAAGAATTATTGCCCAACAGTATAGTATCACCTCAGAGTTTAGGATATTTACCTGCTTTCCTTAACTCGCTTAAAAAAGGAATTAAATTGTTTTCGTCTTAATCTAGATCTTTTAGTGAGGTCCTGTGAGATTTGAGTTTCTTTCCATAGGTTCGATAGGTTTTGCTGTTTCATTTTTATAAAACTCGAATAAATATGATCTCTTGTTTGAGAATTTTTAATACTTAATTTAATTGTTGGATACTGTGATTTAGTTATTGGAATAATCACTATTAAATCGTCCATTGTAACTTCATGTAATTCAAATGATTCCTTAATAATATTAAACACTTCTAACTTGGTAGGACAGGTTTTACTAGGATATCTATAAAACATTATATTATTGTGATGTTGCACATTAACCATATTGTCCATACGATATTGTATACTTTCATTTTCTATTTTCAAATTAGCAATTTGTTGTTCAAGATTAATTATTTGGCTATTCATTTTTTGATTCTGGACTTTAGTTTCTTGGATACTATTACGAATCTGGTCCAAATCTTCTCTAATAGTAGTCATTTGATTTAATATTCTCATGTTAGAAACATTAATTAATTCGGAAATTTTATTCCATAGTGCCAAACTCGACATTTCAGACGAATCTTCCAATTTTCCTGGCGAAGAAGATAAAAAATCGAATGGCTCACCTGATATTTGTGAACTTAGAAGTGATGTTTCAGGGTTCAAACCTGCATTTGCAGAGAGTGGTTCAGGAGAAGTTCTTTCGACGTGCGCACTATAATCTGTGGTTAAACTAATATTAGTGGTCGAAACAGTTTCCTTTCTGCTAGTTGATTTTGCCTTTTGACGTGGTGGTCTTCCTCTTTTAATTGGCAAATGTTGCATATTAATTATTTTTATAAATTTTCCAACACTTATAATATTACCACACAGCACAAACAAAAAATTTAACGTAAAATTATTTGACAAGATACGTTCTTTACCTGTAATTGAAGTGAGTAGTAAAACGCGCCAGCAGCTTCGGCAGACAGAAGCGCCCCCCTTTAATAACAATAATAATAGGTTAGTGACATTACATAATTCTATTAATAATATCATATCATATGTTTTTGAGGGGAATAACATTTTGGTGTGCCATGTTGAGTCATGGGTGTGCCGCAAGTAGAAAAAGGTTGTGGGACACTGCAATAAAGAACACTTCTATCTACTTGAAATGTCTAGAATCCAAACTCCTGTATATACTTTCTTAGTAATTTAGCATTAGTTTTTGCTGTCTAACACATATTGTTGGATGAATCTAATGCAATATGGTGGAATATTTTCTACACATACTCCATATACAGAAGCTACTATTTTACTCACAAGAAATTACCTCCATTATATTTAATTAAACACTGTACATAAACAATTTTTTGAAACATTTAAATATTGTCATTTATAGTGACTTTAATCCAATTAATTCAAAGGAAACATACCCCAACAACCTTAAAACACAGCAAATATTTTTAATAGGCTTCAGATAAACTCCTAATGCCTAGCGTTCCAATAGAAAAGCAAGTTTAGAATTGTTCCTACAAATCTTCAACACCAACTTTCAGTGTGTCTTGGCAGGCAAAGCCAAATATAACTAATTTACAACTGCCTAGTAAAGTACACACTCCAACAACCTTAAAACACAGCAAAAATTTAATGGAATATCAGGTGTTAGGAGTTTATCTGATGTCTATTAAAAATTTTTGCTGTGTTGAAGTGTGTTTACTGGGCAGCTATGAATTAATTAATTCAAAGAATTTTGAGAATGTGAATTGAAAATGAGAATTTTCATGACAATAACAAAATGTGCTCATTTGTGAAACTTAAATTTGAACCATCTAACTCATATTCTTTTAAACATTTGAATTTTGTGCACTCATCTGTTATTGGATAACACAGTGATATTATATTGCTCACATGAATTGTACAGTACATACACAAAAAGATTCACTGCACAGATAACAAATGAACTATAGATCATATGAAAAAACAGCATTTGCAATCATTCAAACAGCCTATAGTGTTCATAAAGCATTCATTTCATAAAGGATGGTAAAGAATGTGTTAACTTCATTTTTTATATTTGATTAAAAATAC